GTACTACTGGATAACACTTCAAAAGTCATTCTGGTATTCCTAAATATTGAATGATAGGTAGATATTAATAAATATTGTATACTGTAATTTGAGACCGGATTGCTGGGTAGGGCCTTAATCTTCTCTTCAAATAGCATATACGTCTATTTTGAACCGGACAGTAATGGTTATAAAGGCAGACTGATACAACGTAATTATAGATATATTTTAATATACATATTTTCAGTTAAAGCTACACACGCCAATTGACAAATAGAATTTTTAATTAATCTTGCTGTGTAAGATCCAACATATCATAATTATAGATATGAGGAATATATCGCGTGCGCAACAACGAATCGTGTTTATAGCCACGTACAGCAAATTTCTTACAAAAAAGAGCTTTGCTGATGCCATTGTAGAGGCATGCATGCATAGACCGTGTCAGGCTTTACAATTGAACATTGGGTCGTCCTTATGATGTGACGTTGACCAAATAATTAAGTCTGGTGCTGTATCAGACAAAATATTAATCTATATATACATATAAATGAACTCTAGTAGCTTAATAAGTAACTGACAGTACTTGTGAACAGTACTCACAGTAATTGCTTAATTTTTCGTCGGATTGTAAATAAATACATAAAATATACACAACATTTTGTTCATTGTTACTGTCCTTACAATCTCATGGTAAATAGGTAAAACAAATTGTAGATTTGAAGCAATAATTGACATTACTCATTAAAACCTCCAAACTTAATATGAGATATAGACATTGTCTTAACTCATGTTATGGCGAGTACTGTGATTGTCCTTTCCAAAGGCTCAATTTTCCTACAAAGTACCTACAAACAGAATTGCGACACTTATACCAACATTTAAAAACATTTTATTTCAGACAGTGAAATCATATATGTTCACTTAGCTCTTGTTACTTTGAGTATACTGTCACTGAGTACTGAGTGTTAAGATACAGAAAGCACGGCGGCCCACACGTCTAACAATTACATATTGATTTGCAGCGTATTATTATATCGCAATAAGCTCTTGCAATTACTCTTTCTGATGTAAAATGAAGGAGAAAATTTCCCTTGTTTACATTACTTGCGCAAATTCATATATGTTCGCTTAGCTCTTGTTTCATTGAGTATATATTGTCACTGAGTACGGAGTGTCACAATACAGAAATCCCGGCGGCCCCACATATAACAATTACATATTGATTTGCAGCGCATTATTATATCGCAATAAGCTCTTGCAATTACTCTTTGTTATGTAACTACTGAAGTAGAAAATTTCTCTTGTTTACATTACTTGCGCAAATAATTCTCAATTATCTAAACACATTGGCTTAATTTCAATCTCAAATATCGTATAGATTGCCTTCTTTTATGAACAACTTAAATATACACTTATAAAAACAGATATTTCATAGGAGTATGGTCCTATTTATAAAAAAGCGATTGAACTTTGATAGTTTGATTGTGCCGAACTTCTACTAGAGTAAGATCATGATTGTCTTATATGTAACCTGAAAGCAAGTATAACTTGAGCAGCTTAGCAGAGCCACCTTAACCATAGTTAATAGAAAGTAAACATGGTTTGGAAACTTGACAAAAGTCATTGTTCTATGTTTTTGTCCAAGTTTATGGAAATTTGTGCACTCGGATTCTGTATAATGAGGCGATTACCCAATAAAAAGGTTAGTTTCAATCGCTGAACCCTAATATTTGAATATTAATAAACGCAAGACAAAAGATGTGTGCACTCGGAATTACATTTCAACATCAGTTGAAGTTTGAATAGGAAATTCTTTGAAGTTTACCGGCCTGCCTAACCATGTTTATTTCTATTAACTATGCCTTAACTAAAGATGTAAATAGTACACGGTGCCAACACATATAACAATCCTATTTGATATTTTTATGCAGAATAAATTAGCACAAGTGTCTTGTACAAGGTTAAATGCATTTTTCGTGGAAATGAACATGTAGCAATTTTCAGACAATCTTGGCCATAAACCGTAGGACAACGATACATTTTTATGCATTTTTAAGGCCTCCCCCCTTCCCCCCATTCAATGTTGCCGTTTCGTGTATATTTATGATCTGACCTACTCTACAACAAAATTGTACGTGTACTAGAAATGTAGGAGAGCAACATTGAATGGGGGGAGGTGCAAAATGATTTTAAAACCCAATTATATTAAAAAGTTGCGAATTTGTTTTGTCGTTCTACGAACTTTTGGCCAAGATTGTAGCTATATGTGGGCTTATCATTATGCACATAGTGTATTTCAGAACCATCCTCAGACATACGAAAAACTAGTTTCATATTTAATCTGGCACTGCAATCGACCAACGAAAAATTTGTTGGCTCGAGCGGGATTTGAACTCGCATCTTCAGGTATCTAGATCGCCACTCTACCTATTGAGCTATCGAGTCAACAGGGATCGGTAATGGTAGTGAGTCTTATCCAAGTGCACGAAATATTTTTGTGATGACTTAACGCTTGTCTTAGAGGACGCGCAGTGTTTCAATTCTATTTCGGAACCATCATCAGAGATAGGATACAATATGTGCATAATGATGAGCCTAGTGCTGTGCGCCTGAAATTTTTTCCGACGCTGGAGCAGAATTTTGTATGCCGGAGCCGGAGTTACATTTTCCCAGCTCCGGCAAAATGACAAGAAAACAATATGAAATGAGACAAATGTCAAACGATTGTTAGTTACTGCAAACTGCTGTTAATGAATTCATCATAGACTCAAACTGCCACAGCCCACAGGAACAGCGTCGAAAAGCTGTAATACGATCGCAACTTACAAACGTCATGCTTTCATGAAGCCATATGACTTAGCCCTACATACTGTAGTCTGTGTATTCATGCCTTGTAGATAACGAAAAAGTACAAAACAAATAAATATCAACCTTTTGAAAATGACAGAGTACTTAGTTTGCGTGCAAACAATTGCGCTGTGGAGTCTGAGAGTGTTAGCGTCATGCCTCGCGTCATGCCTCGTGTCAAAGATTTTTCGAGGCTGGTTTCCATATAGATATTTTCTGCGTGGTTAAGTGTTTTTTCACTGTTTTGTTTCCTGAGTTATGTTATCTGATAATTCGGAAGCGCGAAAAGGGTTATTTATAATAATATTAATAAATATTCTCTGATCGTAAAACATTTTTTTAATATTTTATGATGTGGCCGGAGCCGGAGCTCAGAGCTGTAATTCGGCCGGAGCCGGAGATGAAAAACCGGAGTTTGCACAGCACTAGATAAGCCCACATATAGCTAGTTGCAATAAATATTAGAATATATGGACAAAACAAACTTTGCGAACTCGTTACTCATTAGAGGATATATATGCCGGAATATATAGAGGGCGTATTATACAGCCACAAAATGTATATAATTAAAATAACTATATATTGATGTGTATATTGATGGAATGATTTATATCGATGTGATGTATTTGTGACCATTGCGCAAAGATATTTCACAAAGGTTTATTATTTACGAGATACCCTAGATAACGTTTAGAAAATAGAATATAGAATTTTGGAAGACAAATAGCTAGATATTAGATAGGTCAAGGAAAAGTGATGGAACGTGAAGTTTTTTGCCTATACAAATTAAATCATAGCACGATATTCTGAGGGTTGTTTCTCTCCGATAAAATAATGGATTTTTGGGCAAAATTTTGGTTAAAATTTTGAGTCCAATTTTGGGTCCAATTTTGAGTCCAATTTTGGGTCCAGTCCATGGGTCCAGTCCATGTTTTGTACTATGCCATCAACAATTGCATAACTATTATACTGTTGAACACAACGTTTTATGCACTATAACGCTACGGCTAGCATTCGTTAAAAATTCACTATGTTTGTTAGTAATGTGACAGATCACTACGCCTGGCACTCTGAATGTAATTCAGTACCCTATGCCTATGGTATTAATAATATAGCGTTTAATATAGTCTATGCGGCCAAATATCTACATAAACAGTGTGAATTGGTACAGTATATCATTTTTAGAATTAAACTCCATATAAGTGCTCGTTTCAAATGCACAAAGCAGATGAACTGGCAGTAAATATTACGTTCTTACTTTATATCAATACGACAAGCTTCACAAATGAAGTTTGTATTCCCCATTTAATATATTATTGTATTATAAAAATATGCAATCATCAGTCGAGTCTGTTCACATGCATTTCGTGAGCTAAAATATCTTAGCAGAAGCCAGAAATTATATCAAAATCACATTGGGCTTCCACACTCGTTGATTGCCATATTCATAACTTGAGTAATCTCAACAGAATTAGTGAAAAGCGGGTTTAGTCATGCGGAAAGCTCGCAAGTATTAGACAATACAAGGCCAAGTCCTGCCATTTCGAGAGAGCAGGACTTCGCATTTGTAAACAGTCGGTTTGAGCATGCGCAGACCTAATTATCCAATCAGAAACCAAGATTTCTTGTATGAATTTACTATGAAATATACTGAAATACGAGTCACGTGTAAATCAATGTAGAGTTGCAGTTGCTAGGTAACAGACACGGCAAGCTGTAAAATTGCGTAAATATAACAGAATGCGAAAAACTTTTTAAAAAATAATAACGAAAAAGACAAGAAAATGAGACAAAATAACAATATGATGATAAATTTTTAAAGCTTCAATATAAATATAGCAATGCTTTAGTATGGAAATTTGGGGAAATTTTTAGTCCTGCTGGGCAGGACAAGCAGGACCGCTAGCTACGCCACTGTCTATTTCATGTATTTTTATTTGATATCTTAGGTATAGCTGTAAAAATAGGGGCTCATACAGTTTACGAGGTTGCAAAATGCATGACTTGCCTCTATTTTCATGTAAACATTCGGAAATTTTCGACACCAAAGTAGCGACTGTTTCAGATCGAATACATGCGGACAGCACACCAGGGACAATGGCAGGGTACTGAAATAGAACGTCACTAAAAAATACTGTATGATTAATTTAGATCATGTCCATTTTCAACAGAAAACAGTAATTTATTTTGTACAAACATTTGGCAATATTTACACGATTGCGCCTTTTTATAAACACTTGTTGCGTGTATTCCACGCAATTGCATGTCTCATTTTGCTCGCGCATTGCTCAGACAAATTTCTCACCTGTTGCACTGAAGTAATATTGCGCATGTTCCATTCTGATGGTAAACAAGCTGTTTCTAATGATCGGTTGAAGAGGGAGCAGAGGCTTGGCGCAATTTCATTGCTACAAGTTTTAAGGAGACGAGCAGGGATTTCATCAGGCCCCCTTGCTTTCGTGATGTCCAGAGTGTTGAGATAATTTGTAGATACCATCGATGGATATATGATTTATTCATAATTTCTTTGCAACCACAAGATTGAATTGCGAAATTATTTACTATACACTAAAATTTAAAACATTTAAAACAGCCTCTCCAAAACTTACAAAATCGATTAGTTTAAGGTGAGTCTAAATGTATGCTGGTAAGCAAATGGTGAAGTTAGTTCCCTTTGTTTTCAGGTTATTTTCTTGAATAAGCTGTCCACCATGGCTTGACGCCTTTCAGATAGTCTAAATAGACCAGACATGTGTAGCACTTCATTGTATGGGCGGATAGGAAAAATTATCCGCATGGCACGCTCTTGAACACTTTCGAGCTCCTGAGCAAGATAGGCTGGAATGCTGTTGTGGAAAACTGGACATGTGTACTCTGTAATAAGATGGATGCAGGTACAATAAAATTGAATTAGCTCAGTAATTCCCAGGCCCGACCATTTGAGTTGAGATAGGCTGTATAGACATTTCAGAGCTTTCTTTATAACCACATCGATGTGACCATTCCACTTAAAATTATAAGATACATTAAGTCCAAGAATGTTGGTGTCAGTTACAGTATCAATAGGATTGTCATTAAAGGAGCTGTGTCACCGCGTGCGCATCCTTTCTGCACATAACAAAAACACTTCGGAAATTGTCGGAAGTCGATCGGGAAAATATGCCGCCATGAGATGAGTGAAGGCAAAACAACATCAGGGAAATCAACATGGTAAGTTAAAATTTGCATATATTTGCATATGGCAACGCAAATATATTATTTTAATATTTTAAGTTTGTTAATCAGTCCTGTGGCTTTGTTTGATATAGGCAAGTCATTGTAAGTGCAAGAGTTTGTGTAGTACATGGAGAAAAGTGGATGGAACGCGGGGATGTCCTTGCAAAGGAGACAATGTATTATGCTCGGATGATTGATTGTAAGTGCGGTACTCGTGCTAACCCTTGCAAGAATAAAGTAAGTCTATGAAGAAAAGTACATCTTGTTTGTTGTTTATTTGTTCAGTATGACAGCCTTCGATTTGAAAATATATTATTTCATTGTGTTTGTTGTAATTTTGTAGACAATGGCAGAAAATCAAGAGCGAGAGGTTTTCGCTTAAGCAACAATCCTGTGGAATCTGAGGAAAGTCAGAGAGAAAAGGAAAACGACGTTAGGGTAGATCTTATCGTGATTTGTATTATATAGGGTCATATATAGGCTCGTAGTTGTATTTCACTTGTAGTTTAATATACAATCACGAATATTATAAACAAATACAGATAACAATATGCAATAACAGTCAGATTCAATTCTGTCCACTTTGTGTCTTAATATAATTATTTACCAAAAGACACACCCTTGCTGTCCTTGCAGTCAAAAACAGTTGCAAACATTTGGAAGTTTGCATGAACAATAAATGACTATGGTATGCCCCCTCCCCCCTCTAAGGGAATGAAGGGGTTGGATATCCCGCTCTGCGCACAAAATTCCGCGTAGTGGAAAACTGGTACAACAATGTCAGATACTAATATCAAAGCGATTAGGAAAGAAAACGAAGCCTTAAAAGCAAAACTCGAAGCTGTCGTGAAAGAGATGTCGTCTCTAAAAGAAAAACTCGACAAGCAATGCCAGCCATTACAATCAAGCTCAACTGAGCAAGCAAAAAGCTTACAATATCTTAGTGATGAATACGATGACTTGAAGTTATTTAAATCCTCAACAGACAAGGAAATTAAACGATTGGATACGAAGCTCACTGATATAATTCTAATATTCGACAAGATATCCGAACAAATAGACGTGATTGAACAGTACAGCTACAACTACAACGTGAAAATTATTGGCATACCACAAACGCAAGACCGGAACAAAACCGCAGCAGATACCGCAGATATCTGTATCAATCTATTTCATAGTATTGGAGCAACTAACGTCATATTACAGGATATAGACATTGCTCACAGAATTCCGACTAGAGGTGTTAGCTCCAAACCCAATAGTATGATTTGCAAGTTTACCAGACGCCTAGCGAAAGAGGCTGTTATCTCAGAAAAGAAGGAAACTAGTAAGCTAACTCCAGCCGACTTCGGTCTTCATCGCCGAGCGCGACTTGACCACATCGGTATCTTTGACCATTTAACACCAAAATTACAGCAACTCCTATACGAAGCTAAACGCTTTAAAATGGAAAACAACTATCAATATTGCTGGTCGAAGTCTTCTGCCATAAACGTCTGAAATCAGAAAATGGTCACATGACAACAAATAGCTAAATACATGGAGCAGAATTTCTATACAGTATATTGGCAGATAAGTAAATACAAACTATACTCTATATTAAACTAAACTATACTTTTGTTAGTCATGTCTGAACTAAATGAACGTAAATCCCTCCTCAGGGAATTGCCATTTTATGGTACAAACGTTATAGAGTTTAATAATGGCCCCTCTGGTATTCATACAAAGATGAAAGAATTGAACAAACTCTCCAGCCTTTATGACATGGAATCATATAACTTAAATCCGTCTAACTTTTGCAATATTAACCCTGACCAAATGCTTTCAAATCATCAAATTCGCACCTTTTATCACTCCTCGAATAGTTTTGAACAATTGCAAAACTCTTGGACAAAACCAAACAAAATGTCGGGTCTATCTATTTTCCATAATAACGTGAGAAGTCTCAAACGAAATTTAGAGAATTTGCAAGTCCAATTATTAGATGAACTTGATTTCCATTTTAATATCATTGGTGTTACCGAAACAAAAATTACAAATTCAACACAACTGAATTTCGAAACAAAAATTCCGGGCTATGAATTTGAATATATTCCTACACCTCTGGCTTCTGGAGGTGTCGGAATGTACATTGATAACACGTTGGAGTATACAGTATTGGAAAAATGTACAAACGATGCGTTTCAAGCCTTATGGATTGAAATAATTAATCGCGATAAGAAAAACATAATTTGTGGAATCATCTACCGCCAAGAGACGAGCCAATCGTAAACAAAGTGAACAATTACCACAGTCGAAATATTCCAATCGGAGTTTGCGAAGTTGAATGATTCCACAAACATAATTTGTGGAATCATTCAACATTGTGGATTTAGAGGTATAATTCATGATTGGCTTTCATCATATCTGACAAACCGCTTTCAAACAACACAAATTGAATCTAATATTTCAACAAAGGAGAAAACACTTTGTGGAGTACCACAAGGATCAGTACTCGGTCCTTTGCTTTTTCTAATCTATATAAACGATATTCATCGTTCCTCAGATAAATTTAATTTTCATTTGTTTGCTGATGATACTAACTTGTTATATTCTGATAAAAATCCTAAAACTCTTGAATATATTGTAAATACTGAATTTGCAAAAGTTTACGACTGGTTACAAGCAAATAAATTAACAAAGAATTTTAAGAAATCTAATTTTGTCATGTTCTATCCTTACCAAAAAAAAAAATTAATTACCAAATAGGTGTAAGAATATTTGACAAAAAAGTTGGAAAATATTTTTCACTTGAGCGGAAGGAGTATTTAAAATATCTAGGAGTTTTGCTTGATAAGCGTTTAACTTGGAAACATCATATAGATTACGTAGCATCTAAAATAAGTAAAACAGTTGGAATTATTGCTAGGCTAAGGCATTTTGTTCCTTTCCAGGTTCTCACAAGTATTTACCGATCTCTTATACTTCCTTATCTATCATATGGTATCACTATCTGGAGAAATACTTCTCAAATATTTTTAAAAAACATGTTTTACGAATAATGCACTTCGCTAACAATCGAGATCACGCTGTTCCCTTTTTTAAAAATACAACTAATTTGCCAGTGAATATGTTATATTTTGAATCAGTTTCGAAGTTAATGTATGACGTCAACAATGATTTAGCACCAAAGAATATAACTGATCTCTTTACCCAAGTTGCTACTGTACACACCTATGGTACTAGAGCTTCAACTGCTGGTAACTATCAAATTAAGTACTCTCGTACAACTCTACAAAAAAAATGCTTTTTCTAGAGTTGGTGCAAAAATATGGAACTCGCTTCCAAAATATCTTCGTAATCTTAAGAGAAAAGAATTCGCTAAAGAGATGCACACATTACTCCTTTACATTTTGAATAATGAGGATGACTACCTTGAAGTCCCAATGATTATACAGAGAATGTCTGTTTGATTTTATGTCTGATGAATTTTACTTTTGATTTTCTCTTTTTCATTAGTTTCTAAAGAGCGTGATGAGTTTTGATTCTTAAAGCATTTCGTCACCAACATACATCTATACTGATTTACACTTTTCATAAAATATACCCTAAGGTTTCGACTGTAGTTTCATTATCTTAATTTCAATCCCTATATATTCTATTCCTAATTATACCGAAATCTCATCTTGTTAAATATCAAATGTTGTTAAATAATTAAATATACTATCCCCACCTTCGATTAGCTTTCGCTATTTGTGGGAACAGTATTTTCTTCATTTATGTATTTTCTTTTTAATAAAATTGAATTGAATTGAATTATGTTCCTTATATGCTTGAGTGTTTCATGTTTATAAACATTTATAGAGAATATATTGTAAGATTGTTGACAAACCTTATATATTATAGGACTTTATTAGTAGATTGGATGAGAGCTTAGTCAGGAAGCTTTCCATCTTAAGCTTGCCCAGAGGTATTGGCAGCATGGATTATATAGATACCTTGTTAATCATGGAGGATGATCTGGATGATACTGAAAATGTTGGTGAGCTTTGGCAATCATCCACCGAACGGCCACATGACGAAACACCTACCCAAGATGCTGGCAACTCACAGAGCCCTGGTCCAGACCCAGATCCTACTTCGAGTAGTGTGCCTGACTGGTGTGATTGTGGCAGGTGTTGACCAATGCCACAGGAGATTGAGAACAAATTTGTAAGTTAAAAAAATGCATTACACATTCTTCTGGATTTTCAAAATTATGTCTTGACCCTGATGTGCTGGAGCTGTGTATAAGAAATACAGGAGACATACGCAATGATCGCGAAGACAACAGCACTAGAGCATTCCGCAAGGCAGCATATAGACAATTCACCTTAGCATGACATGGCCATCTGGGCAGGGGAAATAGAAGAGTATGTCCTTCATGTGTTGTTTTGAAAATTCGCGAACAATTTCCGTCAATAACTGGAGTTTACATGGGATATAGAGAAAGCTGAAATTATATATTATGCTATTTAAAATCCATTGTACAAAAGCTATATTTATCACTGAAATTTACATGGGATATAGGAACACAATGAGAAGTTAAAATGTTACATATTCATATTCATGATTTTTTGTGTTACTCTGAAAATATGCCTAAAAAATATCACATTCTCTAACCGACCTGGTTCAGTTGGCAGAGCATTAATTGGGCTAGTACTCCAAAGGTAGTAGGTTCGATTCCCACTGTGACCAGGCATATTTTTCAGCCTACACGGTGTGGATATACACTCAGAGTAACACCAAAAACATCATATTCATTGTTACATATTCATATTGTTAATGTCTTGTTATTTAAATATGAATTTATTATACATGCAACATAGTGAGCTGAAATACAGTATGTGGTTCAAATACTGCCACATTTCACCATCATTTTTAAAACAGCAGCTTGTACATTTATAACAATGGGCCATTCCAGAAAAATATCTGCACCACCCCTATGAAGCAAAGTATTGCTGTCTAGATGTGGCAAGGTTTGGATATTTTCTGGAATAACCCTATTTCAAGCCAACCTAATTATTCCTTTGTGAACCTGCTTCTACGTTCAGCAATTTCTTTTGTCAGTGGTGGTGATATGTGAGCGATAGTTGGTGAAATTAAAGCAGGATCACTCGTATTAAGGGCAACAAGATGAGTCACAGACTCTGTATCATCATTTCTCCTTCTTAATATTTTTGATGTTAGCACTGGTGTATATTCATAGCCCTTAGCCACTTTTAAAACTTTGACATCCCACTGCCTTGTCCTTGCATTGTATTTCCTTGTAACTAATTTGTCACCTGACCGTATTGTTGCCTGTGGAAGATTTAGATGGAAATTCCAATCGATTGCTGCAAGCTGTCGTCTTGCCTTATATGCTCTATAGGTAAACAGAATGACATCAATTTAATTAGTGAACTGGAAGTTACTATCACAAGTGAATGGCTGCCTGATAAATGTTCAGAATGCTGATTGAGGCAGCTAATGCATAAGAAATGTTGAAATCATCATGTGTACTCATTCAAACAATATCACTACTAACAATTCATAGTGATTTTGCAAATTTTCCATGCAAATACATTACGTTCACAAGTAATTATATGAACATCATTTCTTTTTTATTCCCGGTTCTTGACAGTATTTGGTCTTAATTCGCCAACGCTGATTTGGTAAAACTAAACTGAACAGGGTTTGACTGTTTGTCTGCACTTAAAAAAATAACTGAGACATAAAATATACCAAATCTGTGGCATTCACATTATCATGAAAAAAAGTTGTCTAAAGTGCATTAAATAATGTAGCCTGATTATCAGCCCATGTAGACAAAGTAAAATATTGAAGTAGGGTGGATTGCCAGCTTTAGTATATAGGACATCGTTTATTGTTCAATGAAAGCTTACCTGAAAGGCGTTCGCTTTGGGGTGTATACTAAGCCAAGACTATTGGCACATTCAATACCACCAGTATGCCTAATAAAGTGAAAATTATACAAATACAGTATCATTTGTAGCCACAAACACAATAGTTGGGGTTTCTCTATAGAGTAAAATTATAAAGGAGAGACCGGTGTTAATAATGAGTATACCATGTTATAGTGTTAATTAAGCACAACACCAGACAATATCATTCTCTGCATGCAATCATGCACCCTTTAACCCATTGAGTGGCAGCCCCCTTCCCCTGACAAGTAAAATCGTACGTTGTTGACGGAGTAAAATGATAAAGTACAGTAGCAATGGCGCATCCTATCACGTTGCCACTTAAAGGGTTAACATAAATTAGGTGAACTATTTTCAACCTGTTTTCGTCCTTACCTGAATCGAGTATAGTACCTGAAACTACCAAGTAATTCAGGATTTAGGATCACTTTCTGCAGTTCAACAAAATCTTTGTCTCTGTGATCAAACCACGGCAGACTTTCATCATGCTCATCCTCGTCGTGATCACATTGACCACCTAGCCATTGGTGTTCGTTGCAGATGTGGTGCAGTAGCCCAATCCATTTATCCTAAATAGATTTTTGTAAAAAAACAGCATTTGTGGTGGGGTTGCAAAAAGTAAAAATAACGAAGTGAAATTAATCGTCAAGTAAGGCCAGTAGGTCAAGTGTAAGTCAAAGAACGATCGTGGAGTAAGGCCAGTAAGTCAAGTCTAATTCCAAGAACGATTGTTGAGTAAGGCCAGTAAGTCAAGTCTAAGTCCAAAAACGATTGTCAAATAAGGTCAGTAAATCGAGTCTAAGTCCAAGATACAAGCACTACCCTATTACCCCCTCACATGAAGCAACAAAGATACCTTCATAACTTTTAAAGCTTCTTCATCAGAGGTTGTATCATCTTTTCTGCATATACTTGCGCAGTGCCAAAAATGCCAGACAATATGGGTTGACCAGTCCTTTATTTTACCCATTGATTTTGGTTTACCCAACTAAAATGGTATTAAAATAAAAATTAGTTGATCTACTGTATGCACAAAGTGACTGGAAACAATCACTGATTAATAATCAAATGGAGAGTGGGAAACAGGGGTAATACTTGCCCAATTGCATAATTTTTAGGTGTCAATTGCAGACAAGTACAATATACTTGCTCAAGTGAATTGTTCAAGCCAAATATCCTCAAAAAATTGAAAAGTATACAAACCTTGGCCAGACACTTTTTGATGCTTTTAGACTTGTGCCACACGTCCAAGCTGTGCACCACGTCTTTGTATTGTGTTTCTGAAACATAGCGAGTGGAACAACATTTATATTGTGGTTGTTAAATATATGAAAATTCGCAAAGGAACAAGTGGAGATTATTATCATATCGGCATTATAAAAACCAAATACTTCACAATGTTTCAAGCAAAGGTGTCATAAGATCCCAAAAAAGGTATTCTATAATAATTGTGTTAATGTAAACCCTTGAGCGTAATAAACTGGTGATTCAACATACCAAGTAATGCTTTTACAGATGTGGATGCATCTGTAACCAGCTCAACCACCTTCAAATCATTTCTTAATCGATCTAGACTTCGATGGACTGCCTCTTTTTCCATGTTGGTGGATTTTAGGTCAACATGTCTCTTATCCAAGACTTCAATGTCAAGAATATAATGGGACTCTACCTCAACCATGAAGTAACATAGATTCTTGGCATTGAAGCCTGGTGAGTCACATTGACCGTCACCTCCAACAACTACATCCTTCCCGTGAAATTGTCCTATAATTTCACTCCTCATGGAAGACCACCACTCATTTATCTCCGGAATCATGTACAACCGTTGGAACCGATAGTAGGTTGAACTAGAGATAAATTCCAGATTTAAGAATTTTGCCATCTGTTCAGCTTTGGCAAAATTGCTTCCAGACAACATTATAGAGGTAGCTGTCTGGAGATTATTTGCATAAATATCATTCAGCTCATGTGATGAGGTGAATCTATAGTTATGTCCTGATGAACAACGTGAATTGACAATCACAGTAATGCCAACAAAGTGATACTTCGTGTCTGGTTTAGCTGTGCACCCAGGTGTCTGACATCTTGACTGAAATAAATATAAAAGCAAATCCAGAGAGCAAACAAACTTCTTTTCCTGCACTGTTTTACTCTCTTCTTGCATGGCATACAACTCATCCCCTCTGCTTAGCTTGCGATGTGGCCCATATGTGACAGATGTTGAATGCGACTGCTGGGGAAGGTCAGATGAAGGTTCATCAGCTTCTTCTAACTCATGATCATCGGGCATCATTACATCGCCCTCCAAATGAAGCATTTCATCATTGTCGCTATCCAGATAAGACAAGTCATCTTCATTGGTATGTATGGAACTAATAATAAAGTAGAACCATACATGAGTTTATTACCAGAGAAACTGCTGGTACTGTAATATCGGTGACGCACATAGGTTGGGGGGGGGGGGTAGTGTTCACAAATTTAAAAAGTCAATTCCATTTTTTTCGAGACTGCATTAAAAGTCGGTCTCGATTTTATGCTACAAGAATTTTTGGCCTCAGAATGTCAAAACAATGCCCAAAAACGAAATATTGTAGCCGGAATACAACTAAATACAATCCAAGGGGCCAAACTATATGCAAGAAAGTGGATCCCAGATCAAAAAGCTAAAGTCGGTCCCAGATCGTCCCCTCCCCCCAACAATTTGTTGAGTGTGCACCCTTGTGTGGCATTATTGTATTGTATTGTATTTTAAAACGATAAGACTGGTTAGTGTCGTTCCAATTGAACTGTTGCTCAAATATTGATTCAATACATTAATGTACCTCGGGCTGACCAATTCATTTCATCAAGTTCCTCAAGATATTCATACACTTCCTGGTATAATTGTAAACTTCCTGTTGAATAGTTTGAATGCACAAATCACCTTTGTTGTTTGTGCAACTAACCAATCATAAATAGAAAGGAAGTGACCAGAAATGATCAAATACTTGGAATTTGCTCTTTCACAGGAAGTGTATGAATATCACGAGAAACTTGATCAAATGAATTGGTCAGCCCGAGGTAATGTATTGAATCAATATTTGAGCAACACTTCAATTGGAACGACACTAAGTCCAATAACACAATAGATGTACCCTCCTAGGGATGGATTTACTGGGGATATAGGGGATGCAGGAGGGGTGCAAATTACACATAGAATCGGAATTTTGGATTAGTCAGGGTATTCGTCAAACAAAAAACTACAAATAGACAGAAATCGATGGGTCTTTTTTACCATCTAGGGAATCATATTTTAAAAAAGATGGCAAGTTACTACATAGTACTGGTCACAAACACATTGGTCATACATACATAATACTGGTCACAAACACATTGTATCCCTTACTCTGAATCACTTTGTCTTTCTACATTCTGGTCATCATTATTCACTTCTTCAATAACAGATAAGGTAGTTTCATGTAATCTGTAAAAAATATATCTTATTAATAAATTATTCATAAAAGAAGACTCAATACTTCAGCTGGTGTACATGTTCATTCCCTAAACACTCTACTGTGTAACAGCATCATGAATGATAAGATATTAATTTAATATCATTAATGATGACAATTAACCACAAAGTCTTAGCTGACATCCTCATCCAAACTACTGTCATCAGTGGACTCTCCTTCATCACTGAACAAGGATGTATTTGCTTTATCCAGTGGTTCAGTAGTACAACTAGATTTATGCAAATAGGGTTTAATAACATTAGCAACCTATGACATTACGTGTGGTATTTTACATACTTATCATTGTTTCATTACCCAACTGAATTAAGTACAGTATTTCATTTTGCTCTCACACAGAGAATATCAGAAAAAAACCCAAATGGCTTTGCAATACTTTTTGCATAAATGCAGTCTTGAGCAAGAGAAGTATGGGAAGTGAAAATATAGGAAGTGAAACTAGTCATTATTGTGCCACTGAGTAATAATTAGATCAAGATATAATAGTTTTGTTTGTGGAAACACCGTAAATTTATAATAATTATAAATATAATAATATTATATAATATTATATTATTTTTTTTATTTGTTTTTGCAGTAATAAATTTATGTGGTGTTTCCACAAACAAAACTATTATATGTTTTATTGCCATGCAAACATACAAAGAACTTATTAGATAAAGATAGATAAAACTGTATTTAATCACAATAATGATTAAAGTTACAAAGCTTGTGTGAGGTCATGAATTTCTGCCTACTTAGATATATTAACAAACATAATTATGTGGTACACTTGCAGATGCTAAATCTTTCGCTATATTGAAGATTATCTGAGTTGCTCTTCAGTGGAGTATTTCCTTTGATGTTAGAAGATCCGGTACATATGATACATATATATTTATTACCTTTCATTGAGCTCAAGTGATACATCAGCTCCTACGAAACTTGATTCAATGACCATCGCTTCACCAACTTCCAGGTTTGTTTGTGCCAAAATGGGCGACTCAGATGGAACAGCAGAGTATTTGCTATTCACACCTTTCTTTGAAGTGGATGTTGTTTGACCTTAAAACACAATGTCAATGTCTATAAAATTTAGACTATCACATTATGCATTGCATGGTTCAATCCTTCCTGTTACCATCCCCTGGGCAACCGCCGGGGATTTGTGGGCTTTTTAATTGCAAAATGTCAATTCCCCACCCCTGGGCAAATAAAGAAAGCTAACTTCCCACCCCAGGGACAATATTTTTGCGGGCTAGACCAAAGCCCCTCATGTGTGAACATTTATATTCCCCTACCCCTGGGACCAGACGCTCAATAAAATTCCCACCCCAGGGAACTGACAGTGTACATTTCCTGGGGGATTGTAACAAAGTAATCAAACATGTAATTAAACATGCATTGTGGTGTGTTCAGGTACCAAAAGATTCAATTACCAAACACATGATATGCATGCTAAAAATAACAAAAAAATTAAAACACATAGCATCACTGGCATTGGCCATTGACAATGGCATAGGTACAGTACCGCTCAGAATTAACCTAACACTGCGGTTGCGGTCGTTTTGCGGTTAGCGTGTGGTTAACGTGCGGTTATCGGGCGGTTAACGTGCGGTTAACGTGCGGTTATCGGGCGGTTTTTTTGCGGTTTAGCCCACGCATCGGCAAAAAGCTAACCGCGGTTTTAATATGCATTCTGATTCTGAGGATTTCCGACCAAAAGCAGTAAAATATTCGCGGTATAGAATGTCTTCAATAATAAAATGCTAACTCGGGCTATAATATAACAGCTACATGGTAAGAGAAAGCTTAAAGGCTGTGGTGTCAGCGTCAATTATAATAAGGGCTACAGCAGATCATCGATTATAATAAAGTTTTATAATAAAGGATAGATTGTCAATTATAATAAAGTTTTATCATGGAGGCTCCAGGTTATAACGTGTGTGCCTAAAAGGCCGAGATTTTATCATGAGAATCCGCACGATGTGTGAAAGGATTAGCGTTTCTGGTGTTGGTAACCATAGTTTTGTGTCAAAGTTGATGAACTGATGACATATATTAATTATCCAACCTTGCTACTTATTTGTAATAGTATCTTTGAAACCAAACTTCATTTAATATTAACTAGTACTGAATTAGTTAATTTAATATCTCGACTTCATATTACACATTGCAAATTGTGGTCGTCATATAAAAACAAAAATCGCGCGCCAAATTCGAATATAATACACGCCAAGACAGCATTCGAGGCGCATCGACGACGTTCAAGCGAGTGTTTGCGTACAACGTAGATATAAGAAAAATTGGTATGCATACAAATTGATACAATAAGTTGCTTGTTAGTAAAATATTCAAGTGTTTTCCATCAGCAATTAAACGGGTCAAACTTGAAGACTTGCGAGACGACGATGGTCGCCAAGTATCGCATCGCCGTTTCTTTGCCGGGGTGACTAAAGATGTTATCACTGGCACGACAGAGTTATGTTCTCGACGCTTGGGGCAAGTAAGGCATTCGAATCAGTCCTATCAGAGCAAAGTCGGCTGCTGTTGTCCTAAATTTTTATAATGAAATCACATCGTATTTTATGCATGAATCATTGTATATGATATTGGGGTTACGTATACAGCGCTTTATACAGCAGGTCTGTATTATCATAGTTATAATTAAACAAACCTTATTTCTGCGCGAATTTACTGACTAGAACTGGCCAGCCAAACAGTGAAATAGAATGTAATCAACAGATCGCAAACAGTACACAAAATATTTTTGTTTTTAAATCACTGTGCATGCAAACGCTAAAGCTAGCGCAAATTTGTGTTTATATTATAAAGACCAATTTAGTGGAGACTCTCGTGTTCAGAAAGATGCAGTCATCTTTTGCTGACAGGTTAAGAAGATGCAGTCATCTTTGCTTAATCAGTTGAACCTAAATTTTTATAATATAATAACACATCCTATTATGCATGAATCATTGTATATGATATTGCGGTTGCAGTTAGGCCTACATACGGTAGCTATATATTTTTAGGTCTGTATTATCATAGTTATAATTCAACAAGCCTTATTTTTGCGCGAATTGCACTGACTAGAACTGGCCATGCAGCCAAATGAGTAGAATGTATATACATGTAGCTACATGTATATCAAGAGACCGCAAACAGTACACGAAATCTTTTTGTTTTAAAATCAGTTTGCAAACGCCAAAGCTAGCGCAAATTTGTGTTTATATTATAAAGACCAATTTAGCGGAGACTCTTGTGATCAGAAAGATGCAGTCATCTTTTGCTGACAGGTTAAGAAGATGTAGTCATCTTTGCTTAATCAGTTGAACCTAATTCTTTATAATATAATAACACATCCTATTATGCATGAATCATTGCATGTAGGCTATATGAAATTGCGGTTGCAGCTATATACATACGGTGGCTATTATATCCTGTATTATCATAGTTATAATTCAACAAGTCTTATTTCTGCGCGAATTTACTGACCAAAACTGGCCAGCCAAATAGAATGTATAGCTAAATCAAGAGACCGTAAACATGCAGTACACGAAATCTTTTTGTTTTAAAATCAGTTTGCAAATGAACGCCAAAGCTAGCGCAAATTTGTGTTTATATTATAAAGACCAATTTAGCGGAGACTCTTGTGATCAGAAAGATGCAGTCATCTTTTGCTGACAGGTTAAGAAGATGTAGTCATCTTTGCTTAATCAGTTGAACCTAATTCTTTATAATATAATAACGCATCCTATATTATGCATGAATCAAATGTTGCATGTAGGCTATATGAAATTGCGGTTGCGGCTATACATACGGTGGCTATTATATCCTGTATATCATAGTTATAATTCAACAAGTCTTATTTCTGCACGAATTTACTGACTAGAACTGGCCAGCCAAATAGAATGTATACATGTAGCTATATCAAGAGACCGCAAAGAGTACATGAAATCTTTTTGTTTAAAAATCAGTTTGCAAACGCCAAAGCTAGCGCAAATTTGTGTTTATATTATAAAGACCAATTTAGCGGAAACTCTTGTGTTCAGAAAGATGCAATCATCTTTTGCTGACAGGTTAAGAAGATGTAGTCATCTTTGCTTAATCAGTTGAACCTAAATTTTTATAATGAAAACACATCCTATTATGTATGAATCATTGTATGCGATATTGCAGTTGCAGCTACATACGGTAGCTAGGCTATATATTTTTAGGTCTGTATTATCATAGTTATAATCCAACAAGCCTTATTTCTGCGCGAATATTGCACTGACTAGAACTGGCCGTGCAGCCAAATAGAATGTATAGCTATATCAAGAGACGGCAAACAGTACACGAAGTCTTTTTGTTTTAAAATCAGTTTGCAAACGTCAAAGCTAGCGCAAATTTGTGTTTATATTATAAAGACCAATTTAGTGGAAACTCTTGTGTTCA